TGCGGGAAGCTCTACTCCCGCAAGTACGGGCTGAAGATCCACATGCGGACTCACACCGGCTACAAGCCGCTCAAGTGTAAGGTCTGCTTGCGGCCCTTCGGGGACCCCAGCAACCTGAACAAGCACATCCGGCTGCACGCCGAGGGCAACACGCCGTACCGCTGCGAGTACTGCGGGAAGGTGCTGGTGCGGCGCCGAGACCTGGAGCGGCACGTCAAGTCCCGCCACCCGGGGCAGAGCCTTGGCAAGGTGGCCGAGGACAAGAGTGACTCTGGCTACGCTCACCCCGAGCAGGAGCAAAAGACTGACAACGAGAGCGACGTGGACGTCTGCTTCACCGACGACCAGAGCGACCCGGAGAGCGGCAGCAGGAACCGCGAGCAGTGATGCAGGAGCCCGCCGGGGGCGGGGGCAGCGCTCCAGACCCCCCTTCCCACTTACTCTGAGCTCCTGGCCTCCCGGGGCGGTCCCACCGGAGACCGTGTGGCGGGGAGAGCGGGCGGACAGGCCCCCGCGGGCGGCGGGGCGGGCGGGAGAGCGCGGGTTGCAGCCGCGGTCCCGGGAAAGGGCTGGGATGGGCAGGAAACCCTGGCGGGTCCTCCATCCCACCGGGCAGGCACCGCTTCCCCCCCTCATAGGCGCCCGGATTTCAGTGGCCATATATTTTTATTGTACCTTTGTGTCGAGGAAATTGTGCCTTTTGGAAGCGATTTTTTTCTATGTGCTCTCCCCTCACTTGTTCCAGCGCTCCGAGCCGTGGGGCTCAGCATCAGCCCCGGGGCTGAAAACGCCTCTGGCATCTGTACACTTTATCTGACACCTCAGACGTGCTTTCTCGGGTCCTAATAAAGCGATACCACCAGCTTCTTGGGAAAAAAACCCCAACAATAAGCCCCAGTTGCAGCACTGAAGAGGTTCGCATAGGATAACAGGTGCACCATTTGATCAAGTTGCAATTATTTATAACAGATAATATTTGAGTAACAAATGTAAAAATAAATATTGAAAAGCATGCATCTGAAGCACGCGTTATATAATTTTAAAGGAAATACATTCTCTGTTTGGTAGAATACAAATGTGGTGTATGTTTGTTTTCTAATGAATGATGTACAGTGAATACAGTATTTTGGTCTTGGTTCCAGTTTGTCATGCGATTTTTATTTTTATTTCTATTTCTATTTTTAAAATAAAGTTACCGACAAACTGCTGTTTGTCTAGTTGTTCACTGAAGTGCTGTCAGCAGGATCTCGTTCTTCTCCCAAACGCTTCTTGATGCTCGGCAGCTCGGCCCGGATCCCGCCGTGTTCAGCGTATGGGGGTCAAGCTCTAAAGAATTTTCCTCTCAATATCTGAGCATTTGCCTTCTTTCACTCAACAAAACAAACCAGCGAACCCCGAATTCAATCCGTTCTTCCCCATGCCGAAGACTTGTGGATTCTTATTATTATTTCCCCCTTTTGCAAACGTTCTTCCTTAGAACAGTCGTCACTTTTATCGGAGGGAAAAAAAAAAATCTCTATGTACTGTTGGTTTGAAAAACGTGAAACGCGTTCAACTTCCAAGGGACTGTCAGAAAAATGTCTCAGGTCCCAGCTGGTGCTTTCGGGGGCAGCTTGGGATCAGGCAGGCACAGGAGACGAGAGGGAACCCCGCTCCTGGATTTTTGAGCAGCCGACAACTCTGAAGCAGATGCTAAACCACTTCGGTTGATGAGGAGAGTTAGAAGGCTGTGAGTTTCCAGGATCGGGCCCTATTTCAGTCCAGGGTGTAGGTGACGCAGGGTAAAACAGAATCAAATTAATTGCGACATCTGAAAAGCTCGGATACAAACCCGAAAGAATCTCACATACAAAATCGATCCTTCTTTTTTCTCACTGAAGGCTAAAAGTGCTTCACAGCGATAGGAAATGGGAATTGAAATGCCAGGCTTGGATTTCCTGTAAAGGAGAGATCTAAATCCTTGATTTAGATTGAAAAGCTTTAGGATTTAGGCTTTATTTTATTTTATTTTATTTTATTTTATTTTATTTTATTTTATTTTTTCTTCTGGACTTGTGCACTACATACCCCCCTAGTCCATTCTCCTTCATCCCAGGACGCCAAGCAGCGTTTCTGTCGTGGGAATAAATGGAAAAGGTCTGTCCTGCGGAGAACAGCATCTTGCTCATCTGCCGGTGGAGTCGAAAATCCTGTTGTCATTTCTAGCCCGGGCAGCGGACACGCGGGATTTCCCGCCCGGTTCCGTGTTTCAGCAGTTGGGTGATGCCTTCCCAAGGGAAGGTGCCCACTGTGGAGCTGATGCCGGGAAGAGACACGTCAGGTACGTTGGGAGGTCTTGGAAAAAGGGTGGAATAACAAAAGTGTGAGCCGGGAATTCTTGACCTGCCAGTGGAGTTTGTGTGTTTGAATACAAGTGTCCCAACAAATCCTAATACACTGGCTAGAGCTCCGGGCAGGCAATTTCTGAGAGTTAAAGGTCTGTATATCTAAAAATGAAGGAGTTAAGAAATGAAACCCAACCTGAACGAGACACAACCAGCCGCAAACAACCGAAGTGCAGAAGAAAACCCACTAAACCAACCCATCACATGTTTATTCATTTGCTTATTTATTTATTGGCCGCTTTGCGGAGGCTAAAGGGGAACAAAAAGACTCACGGAGAAATAACTCTGCCACGTTCCATTTTTTAGGGCCCCGAGGGGACTCGCACCGCAGCGCGGGGTCGGTGCGCGGGGGCAGCGGGAGGGACCCCCGGTCCCCTGGGGTGCGCAGGGCCGCGGATTCAG